GTAAGACTTTTTTCCTCACTGATTAAATAGGTAATATAGTTACATACTTCAAAATTCATTCTTTTTGTAAATCCTTTTCCCCCCAATTAATTATATATTTTAGAGATCATTCTACCTATACCAATACTTAAAGAGTTTTCTTGAACTTTTTCACAGTACAGTTTCTGTTGTTTGCTATAGCTTATTTTACTGGTTCCTCTTAGATAGACATTTAGGCTATTTATAGCAAACAGTGCTATAATAAATAACCTTATATACGTTATTGTACACACACACACACACACACACACACACACGTGTATCTGTAGGATAAATTTCTACATATGGACTGAAAGCGATACCTGCATTTGTAATTTTGGTAAATATTGCTAAATGGACATTCTTGCAGTTGTACCAGTTTACACCCCATCATTGTGGGACTATAATAGTAGGAGCATGGGCAGCCATGGTTCAGAAAGCATGTCAAGAAGTGGGCTGGATGGCCCTCTGCATGCTGGATATGAGGATTGTGTCTACTCTGCATCTGAGAGGACCTCAGATGAGCACTCAGCAGACTGGCCCGGTGGGACCACAGGTTTCGGAACAGGAAATGAAAAGGAGCCTGCTTCTGAAGTTGACAGCTTTGATGCCTTCCTTGCTGAGAAGGTACTAGGGAAAAATGGCTCCAGCTACGAAGTCCAAATAACTCTCAGGAGAACTGACTTAGAGGCCAGATTTCACTAGAGTTTAGGACTTGCCTTCACTATTGGTACATAAATGATTCTCACAGGCTGGACAAGATCAACAGACCAAATAGAAGGTATGAGTGAAGTTTGAGTGCTTGTTATATAGCTGACCCTGTGCTAGGTACACACAGACAAGGATAAAATACTCTCTAGCAGTGGAGACAATGAAATGTATTGCTGTAGAGATGTAATGTGTGATAATAAAATATAACAGGTTACCACGGGGAGCAAAAGAGGAATCCTGAACTCTTCTTAAGGAAGGCAGCGCAGAGAAAAAGCATGACATCAAGGGTAGGACTTGCAGGACCTACTAGTACTTGTCCTCGGGTAAAGGGCCATCTTCAGGAAGTCTGAGTTCCCACAGTGCCAAGTTCACAACTGTCATGTGACAGCATTTGAAATTCACCTGCACATTTTCTCTCTCTCTCTCTCTCTCTCTCTCTCTCTCTCTCTCTCTCTCTCACACACACACACACACACACACACACACACACACACACACACATGCATGCACTCTAGTTAGCTCTTGGAGCTTGGTGGCTGGGGTTCTAATAATTTATATTTGCCACAATTGGCACAAAGTTGTTTTCTAGTTTAGGACTAAAGTAGATGAACTGGAGACCTACCTGCAGAGAAAAGTAGCAAGCATGTTAAGGATTCCGTAAGTCCTAGAGGTAGTGTTACTCAAATTCGCCTCCAACTGGCACTGCTGTGACTTTACTTCTAGAATAATTCAGAAATGTGTTTCTTTCCTTGGTTCACTTGAGTTTCTTGGTAAATTAGTTCCATAAGCCTTCACACTACTAGCGTTTTTATCTAAGTTTGAGCATGGATAAATATAGCCACACCTGAGTTAATTAAGAATGAATCAGTATAGCCTTCATTGATGTCTGTGGCACTGTTAGTTACTATGTCTGCTTGGAATGCAGAGAGAACTACAAAATGCGGACAGAATTAGGGCAAGCCATCCTGTAGTGTTTCCATCTCTTCCTAATATCTTCTTTGACATCTCAGCAGCATCACACTACTCGCTATCACTTGCAAAGTTCTTGGGAACCTCCCAGACACTGTTCTACCTGACTCTCCCGCCACTCCGATGCTCCTCTCTCCCAATTGCTGGCCTTCCACCTTCTGGAGAGAATTTTCCCAAGGCCATCTTTGGTCCTGTCTTTGCCCCCTCTCCCTGTCTCTCTTTATTCTCTTAGAGAATTCATTCGTGCTCATGGGCTCAAGTGTCAGTTCTATGCATGTGATTCCCTTCTGTCCTCTGAATACCACATTCTCTCCAGACCTGACTGCTAGACTTGACCTCTATGTTTTCATTGTCCACTAGATGTTTCCATTTGGGTGTCCTGTCATCATCTCAAACTAAACATGCATGAAATTGAGCCTCCCAGTTTCCATTTCTCTGCCTGTGGCATCAGTATTCTCTCACCCACCCAAGCTCAAACCTGAGTCACGTTTGATGCCTCCTCCCCATTCTTCCTTTCCCAAACACAAGTTTTGCCAACTTTACTTGCAACGTCTCTTTAGCTGTTTGTTCTTTCCATTCTGTCCACTAATCCAGGGCCTCAGTGCCCATGCCTTGTGGTCTTCCTGCCTGTAGTTTCTTCCTCTTTCCCCTTTAGTCTTTCTTTCATATCTGGCCAGACAGATTCTCCAGAATGATTGTTTGTATCTTCTCTCTCTCCTGCTCAAAAACCTTCAAGAGCTCTCATCACCATACATAAGTCCAACTCCTCAAGCTCAAGCCCCTGTATTTGGTCCCAACCCATCTCACTGGCATTATTCCACATGATATAAGTGGAATCTCTGAAGCTGGGCTCTGGGATCATATTTTATTCTTGACACTGACATGCAGAATGACCCTGGGTAAGTACTTAACCTCTCTGTGTGCCTGAATTTTTTCTTTAAAATCACTTTATAAAAATTTTACATTCATTTCTAGGGTTATAGTGAGGATTAGAGGCATTTAGAACAATGCTGGATGCATAATAAGCACTGAAGTGCTAATTTTTTATTGCGCTGATCTGAACAGAGCACATGCTGCGGTCTGCACACCTCTCCCCGGGTGCACACGTCCACCTCTCATAGTTGCCTTTGCTCAGTCCAGGCTCTCCATCTGCTGGCTGACTCTCACTCACCCTGCAAGGGCTCTTATCTCCCATTTCCTTCTGGTAAACGCTTGTTTGTTTGGTGCTTTCTGCCTGCCATGCTGCTCAGCCTGGGCTGGGTAGTGGTTGTGGCATGTCAGGGTGTATGAAGCCAGCCGTAGGCCACACATGGTGCATCTTTCTGGAGAGTTCATTTTACTTGATAGGTAAATTTATTCATCTTTATGTCCAGACATATCATGGAGTAGAATGCGAAATTGACCAAAGGTTTTTAAGATCAAACACACAACTAAGAATATTCAGAGTGGAGGGGTCTTGGGCCACCACCCAGCCCTAGTGGGGAGCCTGTATTCATTCTGCAGTGAAAAGGTCTGAGAAGCATGTCTGAGTAGAAGGGGCTAGTGTGCATGAGGTAAAGCAGGGGTAATTCCAATGCAGCAGAGGTGGCAGTCCTTGTGCTAGGACCCTTGCAGTGAGGGTCACTTTAACAGGTGGTGGCCTTGCCTTCCTGAGAATTCGTATCTGTTCCACTCCTACTTGCCCCGTGGTAGCACTTGTACCAGTATATCACGTTGGTTTTTCAACTTTCTACATGCATAGGTCTGATCTCTTCAACAGCATCCTGAGTACCTAGAGCACAGGGCAGGCAGAGTGCAGGTGCAGAGTAAATGAGAGGGAAGAGAGAACTGCTGCGAACTGGACCCTGGGCTTTACTGACTGAGCAACTCACTTCTCTTGTCAGCTTCAGTCCCCTTACCTGTACAACACGAATGATACTTACCCCAATGAAGGTGTTCTAACGAGTCAGCTAGGTTAAGTATGTGCAGCATTCAGCACAATAGAAGACATGATGGCACTTGGTAAACATCAGATCCCTCCCGCGTGCTAGGCTCTCAGCAAACATCTGATTCTCCAATGTTCCCACTCCTAACTGTACCCGCCTCCTGTGTAGTCTCACAGCCTCTGCCTCCTTTCCTGCCACAGTGTGTTCCTATCTAAGGCCACCTCTTCCTGGCCCTTCTCACCTTCGCAAAAACCCTCACTCATAAACTGCCCAGTCAGTGTCCCTCCCTATTAGATCATGTAACTATGCTGTAATATCACTCTATCTAAAACAAAAGACAAAACAAAACAATAAATAAAAATCCTCTCTTGGTGCCACATCCCCTTCTAGTTACTACTCTATTTCCCTGCTCTCCTTATAGTCAAAAAGTCATGAAAGAGTTGGCATACTCCCTGTTTGCATTTCTGACATCCCCTCTGAGCCCGCCCCAGGCACACTCCTATCCTCATTACTCCATGGAAACTGCTTATCTCCAGTGACCTCTGCATTGCAAGTCCAGCCTGCTGCTCCCAGGCTTCTTTTGCCATATGAGACCTTGAAGCATTCTGCCCAGGCCTCCTAGACCCTACCCCCTCCTTATTTTCTCCAGTCTTGCCACTCCTCAGCTTCCTTTGCTGCAAACCCTCTCATGATCAGTGCTCAATGAATGGGGGCTAAAAAGACCATTTGGTTGTTCTCTAGGCCTGTTTCCAAGGAGTCCCTAGAGCTATTTCTATCTGCCCCAGGATGGAGGGCTGGTACAGCAAATGAAGGTGACACCTATGTGAGTACTGATGACATTCTCCATGTCATACTGTCCCAGGGTTCCTTAAACGTTGCTCCAGCCAGTTCTCTTCTATCCCCAACACTGTCCAGTTCCCTACCAAAGCCCCTCACATGATGGCCATCTCTGAGGAGCTCCTGCGGGTTGAAACCGCCCTCCCCAACCCTGCTTGGAACGCCCCAGGTATAAGTCTGTCTGGCTTTATGAACCATGGTTCGGCCCCATGGATGCTCCTCTGACAAAGGACCCATTTTCCGGAGGTGGAGAACACTGCACAGGCTAGGTGGCTGGTCTTACAGGTTTTCTCCGGTTGGTCAATGCAGGTGACTAAACAGTACTTTCCCTGTGCACCACCAGGGGGCACCGGAGGCCGCTAAGCTCTGGGGAGGATTTGTCCGTTGGTCTTCTGAGGTGTCTTTCCCCTCTCTCAGGTCTGTTAGGCAGTGGAAGGAGGTACATGCACCTTGTAAAAAAAAGCCGGTGCTGGCTCTCTCCCACGTATCAACTTGCTGGGTGATGCCAACGCAAGTAGAGCCACATTAAGGAACAGGAGGTTAGGGTGCCAGGCTGTGTTATTTATTGATAAGCATTAGTGAACCCCTTGCCCTGTAAGCTTAGCCAGTCCTATCCTCAGATTCCTAGCCCTAGGCAGGAAGTACGTCTGCTAAGTCTGTTCTGCCAAGACTGTGCCTAAATTCTACAGCATCCCCAGGATCACAGTGTTCAGGTCAAGGAGGTGAATGGCAGGCATCAGAATGGTCGTGTCCAGGTCCTTGTCCTCAGAGACCACCACCAATGCAGGAAGTGCTCCTCGGCTCTCAGAGGGGCTCTGCTGGTTAGATGGAGGGCTGAGCATGGAGACTTCCAGATTTAGTCTCTTTTCTTCTCTGCAAGACTCCTTCCTGCAACGTCCTCCACAGCAGGGCTGAGCTGAGAGGCAGTAACTGGCTCTTGCTGTGTCCTGAGGTTCTTGGGTAGCGAGCAGGAGACCTTCGGTGGGACCTCAAAGGGGATAGAGATGCCAGAGACTGTGCGAGGGGATTGGGGGAAGAGAAACCAGAGAGTCATTAAGTCCCTTGATCTGATTGCACCAGCACCAGTTCTTGGCCATGGCCTGTAGTCCTTGGCCATCCCCTTGGTACTAAATAGATAGTACCTTGGGCCCTGGGTATACCCTTCCCCCACCATTACCTCAGAGATAAGAATTATTAAAGTGCCCTAGCTGGTTTGGCTCAGTGAATAGAGCATTACCCTGGGTTCGGTTCCGATCAAGACCACATGCCCAGGTTGTGGGCTTGATCCCTAGTAGGGGGCGTGCAGGAGGCCACCAATCAATGATTCTCTCTCACCATTTATGTTTCTATCTCTCTCTCTCCCTCTCCCTTCCTCTCTGAAATCAATATATATATTTAAAAGAATCATTAAAGCAACCTCTGCCCTCCTGAGCCAGGCACCTTGTAGAACTTTCTTGCTTGCTCAGCAAAGACTCCCAAGCCAGCATCCATTTCTCCCTCAGGTCAGGGCAGCCCCCACCCAGGATCAGCAGGCTGGTGGTGCCTGGAGAAGACTGGCTCCCCCTGAAAGCCCTCCCTGGTCTGTCTCTGACCTGAACTGGAAGCGGGGATCTCCAGGGTGGGTTTGTAGCACCTGATACACTTCTGGGGGAGGCTCCAAGCCCATCTGCTCTGCCCGATGCCAGCGCTGCAGCCTTGTGATCCCTGCCAGGGTGGGAAGAAGACAGTGAGGCCTCATGGTGGGCAGGGAAAAGTCCAGGCTAGAGAATGTGTGTGGAGGGGTGTGGAGGGGCCTCTATACTCCCCAGTCTCAGGAGACAGTGCCCAAAAGGACAGGCAGGGGCTTGGATTGCTTCAGAGAGATGTAGGTGATAGGTCTGGTGCCAACGTGTGCTTCTGGGGCTTGCGTGGTCCTCACCTGTGCAGGGCCCGTACTGCCAGGCCAGGTCAAACTGCCTCAGCAGCTCCAGCTCCACTTCATCCACGCTCAGGGGCTGGATCTCTTCCTCTGCAACGACAAGCTGTTCCTCAGGCCTGCCCAGGACTGTACCCTGCAGAGCTGGCTCCCCGCCCCTCCCCTCACAGCTGTCCCTCTGCTTCTCAGCCCTCACCACCCCCTGCCTCTGTCTTCTGCTGCCAGGCCTGGTGTAGGAAGTAGAGGACATACTTCACTTCCCCTTGCATTGCCCACATCCGCCCACGTCCCATGTCCCTCCGTGTCCACTCCTCTGCCCTCCCCACACCCCAAAGACCTAGCTCTGTTGCCAGCTCCCCCTTGCTGTGTCCAGCGGGGCCCTCCCTTCTCTTCACTACTGGGTAGGAGTCAGTGATGAGCCGCTTCCGGCCCATGGCGGCCACCCAGGCAGGCGGAGAAGGCGATTGCAGGGAAGGAGAGAGACAGGCCAGCGGGCACGAGAAAGACAGCTGCTGAGATGACAGAGGGCTGGGCCAGAGAGCGAGCCTGGGACCAGCAACCGGCAGACAGAAGGACCAGACAAGCAGAGAGGAAGTCCGCAGGTTCCAGGGAATGACGTCTCTCCCCTAGCCCTCAAGCACGCAAACATCAAAGACCTAAGCCAATGGCAGGCCGCCTCGGAGAGGCGTGGCCCGACTCCAGCCAATGGCAGACGGCGCAGGCAGGGGGCGGGGCAGCTGCAGCAGCTGTGTTCTAGGGGAGAAGGGGTGAGGCTGGGGTGGGGGACCTGTCAAAATGCCCCAGACTGCCCCACCTCCTCCTGCGCCCCCCCATTGGCCCGCAGTGGGTCTCGGGGGACTCACAGAGCGTTATCCTCAGGCTCTCACTTCCCGTTTTCCCTTCCTAGGCAAATGTTCTTTTCAGCCTCACTAATCCCCGTGGCAGGTTTGTAACTCCCCAGGGCCCAGCTGGAGCCTTCCACTCCCTCCCCCGCCCTCTTTGGCCCACAGCATGTTGTGGGGGCAGGTCTGGAGGTCCGAAGAGAGTTTGGGCTAATCCAGCCCTCTTCCCTGCTCCCACCCCACCCCCACTGGCCCCAGGAGAGCTGGCTGGAGAAGCCCATGGATCTGGAAAGCTCCTTTCTCACAGTCTGCGCCCAAAGATACTGCCCACCCTTGGTCCAAGCAAGCGTTTGCCTTGTCGGCTCTCCTGGGGTCCCACAGCCGGTTCCTGCGGCCCTGCTAGTCAGGAAGATTCCATCCTGAGCAGGAGGCCACAGTGTGTTTGGACCCCCAGTTCTTCACAGCACAATCTGCATGTCTGTATCACACTAATGTGAATGTGTGAGCAGAAAATACCAACAATAAAACCTAACACTTATATGGCACTTACAGTGTGCCGAATACCGTCCTAAGCACTTTCCCACAGATTCATGCCACTAAAATGGATGTAAAATGGTTCTTGAAAGTAGGAAGTACTGATAGTCACAGACATTGTGGGGCCCCAGTTAAATCATAGCCCCTCTGTGCTTCTCTGGAGCTCACAGGCTATAGGGGCAGGCAGATGGGACTCAGAAGTTGTCCGGGCAAGGATAACATTTCTAACAGGAGACGGGGGGAAGGGTGGGTCAGAGATGGGTTGGACCACAGAGCTGGCTTAGCACTGGAAGACCTCCTGGAGGAGGCAAGCTGAATAAACAGTGCCTCTCAATTCTCCACCCATGACCTTTGTCCATGGGCTCCTGTCATCGCTGACTCACCCCTACACCCGCCTCCCCCTCACCAACTTCCTGGCAGCAGGCAAAAGTGCTGGCCAGTGGGAGTCTGGGAATCGGCACTGGGACCAGCCCTGCTCTAATCACCCTCTAGAGATCCCATCCAGTTCTTCCCTTCAGGGGTACGAGGGCCTGCGCAGGGCACTGCCTTCCCCTTCTAAGTCTGCTCTGGAGTCTGAGTGCCCTGTGACAGGAGGGAGGTGGGCACAAGTGAGAACACTAGAGAGTGGACCACTGAAGGGGAGGAGAGGAGCAGGCATGTCTCAGGGGCCTCCTCCCGCCTGGCTCTCCCCATCTACTTCCTTGGGGATGGGCCATGTCTGAGTCCAGAAGTGAGAGCTCGGGCCGCATTGTACAGAGCTGCAGGGCCCTTCCCTGCTTTATTGTTTGGGCTGGGCCTGATCTAATCCCCTGTCTGCATTATAGACTAAGTGGGGCCCACATTGAGGGGCCCTGCTGTGTCGGGAGGGAAGCAGGGAGGCCCTCTCCACCAGGCCTACAAAGGGTTTAGGTGTGGGGTCCAGTCAGGCACTGAGTACTCTATGGAGGAATGATGGTGTCCAGCTCCGTGGGACTGACGACCCTCTTCCCAGGGGGCATTGCCAGAGGTGTATGGCACCCAACTCCTAAGCCCACAAAGCCCTAAGGGAATAGGGAGCCATGGGTGGGGCAGATCCCTCCTCATTCCTGGCCCCTCCCACCCCTGAAAGCTGATAGCCGTGAGGCCCTGCCACCGCCCAGGGAGCGTGAAATGGGGTGTGCCACTGGGTGGCCACAGTGGTTCCTACAGCCTATTCCCTCTCCCCTCTGGCACCCTGACCTGCTCTGTGGACACTGTCTGGGTCATCCCTGCCAGCTGCCCCCAGCTCTGCCCGGCCCAGGCCCTTCTAGCCTCCCTACCCAGCCTGGGAGATGTCTCCCTTGGCCTTCAGCTTCACCAGCACCCCCCCCCCCAAAAAAAAGGGAGTCAGGGCAGTCAGCTCTAGTGCAGGCACCCGAGGACTGGCTTGCAGGAACTCTCCACTGGCAGCGTTGCCCTCCTCTCCTAGTCGATAGCAATGGGATCAAGCTCCCAAGGTTCGAAGGAGTTGGCACCCAGGGGTGTAGAACCATCTCTGTCCAACTGGCATCTTTCCTTTACTTGGCATCTGGCTCCTTAAGGTGTTCTGGCAACTAGACCGGACTTTCACCTGCCCTCCTTTACTTCCCCAGCCTTGTCTGCTCCCTATCACCTTTCTTCCTTGAACCCCTGCCCTATTCAGGCAGCCTCCTGGCCCATCCCCGAAGCTGCTGCCTGGGGCCTGTCACAGTTCAGGCTTCAGGCTAGAAGGCCAGGCCAGAGGTCTGAGTTGGAGGCTAAATTCTCTCTCCTTTAGGGAATTTCCTGAGACTAGGGCCTAAGTTCCTGTGTCAGCCGTAACCCCCAAAGGTTGGTGATGGGACTTGCAGGAGTGACCTTTGTACTTTGGCCTGGAAATACTCAAGGCCCTTGCTTCATAGTCAGGACCAACCTCTTGGAGGAACTCAAAAGCAAAGGAGAGAAAAGAACTGAAACAGAAGCTCAGAACCTTCCTGAGGGCTGAGGCCCACCGCTGACTGCTCCAAGGGGAAGGGGGATTAAACCTGGCTTAGCTCAGACAATGAGGCAGGATGGGGGGGCCTCAGCACCGCGCATGCACCCTAAGAGCCCCTTCCCTTCCCCCAGCTCATGATGGAGCTTGTGGGGAAAGCCAGCTAGAGCTAGGAAGGTGGGGGCAGGTGGAGGGAGGGAGGGAAGCAGCTGCCTGGCGCCCAATGGGCTGTGGGGCGTTGCCCGCTCTCCTTCCCTCTCCCTAGCACACCCCTTCCTCAGGCCCTCAGGCCCTGCCACCCACCCAGAGCCCCCACATACTCATATACCCTGGGCCCCATTCCCCACCCTGTGGGCCAAAATTCTTTCAGGCAGCTCCTCCTAGTCCCTTACGACCCTCCCAGACATCCCACCTCCAGTTCTTCCAGGTTCTCTGGCCCAGTGGACTTAAGGGGTGGTTTGCCTGGTAGAAGGCAAAGCTTCCCCTGGGTCTGGGTTTTTTTTTGCCACTGGATGTCTCTTTTGTCCTGTCCCAACCACCCACTCCAAACCTCTCATCACCTCCCTTTTTACCTTAGCCAGCCTTCCTTGTAAAGTTCTGGGGAGATTTGAAAAGGGGCCCTTCTAGCCATTCCTCACTGTGGCCACCAGGTGTCAGACTTTGTCCAGCTGGGAGGAAGTCCTCGTGGTTCCCACCCCATCAGCCAAGCTTTGGAGATCAGGACAAGTTGGAGAGGGCCCTAGAGGACACCTCTGAATGGAGGCTGAGGGACCCTGAAGGTTGAGATGAGGAAAGGGCTGGATTTCTGGTTCTAAAGCTCACAGTATTCTCTTACTGCCCCAGCCCTCACCCCACTGACAAGGGCTTTGTCCACTGTTGGGAAATGGGGGGAACCAGGCTGAGTCAGGGAGCTCAGGAATTGAAGTGACAAAGGCAGGGGCAGTTGTGGCTCCAGAGAAGGAGGGGCTGAGAGGAAGCCACGCACCAGAGCATTCAGCCAGGCCTGCGTCACTGGTCATTGCCCTCTAGGTTCAGGAGAACAAGGGCCTCCCTTGGCCCTTCCCCATTTGGGGTGGCTGTGGCAAGTGGGTGAGTGTGTGTGTGAGTGTATGTGTGTAACATGAGTGCTTGAATGAGTCTCCTAACTTACTGAGGGGGCCCTAAGTCCTGGATGTCGGGTCAGTCTTTGCAAAAAGTGGGCAACTGGCAAGGTGTGACTACCCTTTTGCCACCCTGTGTCTGAGCCTCTTCTGTACCCACTCCTATGACCCTGGAAATTGTCCTCCCCCCCCCCACCCATATGACAGTTCTCCATCTTAAACACAGGGGTGTTAGATGGAAATGAGATTTCTAATCCACTCTGTAATATCTGGAAAAGACAGGGAGAAGGGCCTTCTCTCCCCCACCCTCTCACTTTCCCTAGGCTTCCTGGGAACAGATACCTTTTAGAGACATCACCCTCCCTCCATGTCACTGAAGGGCTTCAGGTATTCTAAGTTCTTAGGTTGACCTCTAGATCCCTGGGCCCCTGACTATAAGACCATACTTAAGAGGTCAAGCCTAGGATAACCAATAAAAACTCATCACCTCTCCAGGAACAGCTGTGGATGGAGAATGACAAACCCACTCACAGAAAAGCCTGATAACATGCCATTTACCAGGAGCTACCTGCCCCTTGACCTATAGTACCAAAACCTAAGGAGGGGCTCCCACTGCCAACACCATCAGTAGGGGGCTATTTGGAAGAAAGTTCAAAAACTCAAACTATGAAATGTCCTCTATGACTGGGTTTTCCTCTGTGTCCACCTCCCTAACCCTGCTCCTAGGGTGCACCCTCTGCATTCTTAGCTGGAGAGAACTCCAGCACTTATCCACCCTTCTCCTCCCAGTCTCGCTCCCATTCCCCGTGGCTACTTACCTGCCTGCACTGTGCTCTGTAAGGCACATAGCCACTCAACAGTACAATTTCTAACCTTCTAGAGTCCCACATACTCACTGCCCCATGGTTCACTGCCATTCCTGCCTTTCCAGTCCTCAGCTTTGGGGAATGCCCTTTCTCCACTCTGTCCCTACCTCTGGGCATCATCTCTCGCTTGCTAGGGAATGTCACAATCCATGCCAAATGGTTGGTGACAACAGAGCTGTGTTTGCTGATGTTACCTGGTTCCTTGTGGCTGCCCTTTTGATTTTCCTGTGCTTTTCTGTGATTCCATTCCCCAAGTCTCTCCATCCTTCCACTGCCACTCCTCAGGCAGCAATGACATGTTTAGATCTCTTCTGCTTAAAAAAACAACAGAAAACCAAACAAACAAACAAAAAACCTTCCATGCTTCTGTTACCATCTCTAGATATTCCGTTTGCCACCACACTTCTGAGGGAATATATTTACCCCTTCTACTTTCTTATCATCTCCTTCTTTAATCTCACAGTTTGGTATCTGCCTCTTAACTGCTTTTGCAAGGGTCACCAACGACTGCCTGATTTTACCAATGCCAGTGGATTTTGCCCATATTCTCTCAGTTCTTCTGGGGCATCTGACTCTGTCAATCAGCAGCTTCCTTAAAACTCTCCTCTCTTGAGTTTTAGCACATTATTGTCTGGACACACTTTAAATCAAATTATGGAGAACTTTAATCTGTGCTTGGCATTGTGCTAAAATGCTGTAGGAATGCAAAGATGAATAGATTACAGAGCCTGCCTTCAAGATGCTTCCTGCTTTAAAGGGAGATGGACACACTTAACTATCCCTTGCTTTGCCCATCCTTCAAGAATGGTGTCAAATCCCACCTTCTTTATTTATGCAAAAGCACTTACTGTGTGCAAGGCACTGGAAATACACAGTGACCTCAGACAATCCTTGCCTCCCTTCTGGGGCTCACAGACTAGCAGAGTCCTCATCCAACTGGGAGCAATTGCTTCTTCCTTGATGTCCATAGTATTTTCCCTGGGTCTTTCTAAACTTAATCAAATTCTACCTTGGATTCTAGCATTTGTGAGGAGGGAAGGAAGTAACAAGTTGTTTTGTTCAACAGACTAATTGATCACCATCTTGAGGCTGGAGCTTGAGCAGGGTGCTGGGATAGACAGATGGGGAAGACTCGGTATCTGTCCCCCAAAAGCTCACAGTACAGCAGTGTGGGACATCCCTCTCTCCCCCCTGTATTCTGTACAGCCCTTTGCTGGGTGCCTTCCATATAACAGCTGCTACTCATTTTGCCCCTGCATGGAGAGAGCCCAGATGCCCTCTCCTTGTCTTGTTAGGCAGAAGGCAGGGCCATGCCTGGGCAGATTTCCCTCCCTGAAGAGCCCAGACCCTGCAGGGTGGGCATGTTCCCTCCAAGTTGGGCCAGGTGACTCAGGGACATTCAGCAGAGCCTGGCTTGCCCCACCCACACGCAAGTCCAATAGCTCTGGCCTCTCCCTTTCCAGTGGTTCATGTACTTGTGGGGACCGCCCAGTGCATACGACACGTGTATGCTTTTGTTCCTTATTGATTCAGGTAAGCTGGTCTTCTCTTCCCAAATAGATTACAGGCTCCATAATGGCTTCTTTTATGTTTCCTATACCGAGTAGCACAGTGATAGGCAGGTAATGTCTTTTAAATATTTATCAACTGCCTGGCCAGTGTGGCTCAGCGGTTGAGCATCTACTTATGAACCAGGAGGTCACGGTTCGATTCCTGGTCAGGGCACATGCCTGGGTTGCAGGCTCAATCCCCAGTGGGGCATGTGCAGGAGGCAGCCAATTAATGATGAGCCAGTTCTCTCATCATTGATGTTTCTGTCCCTCTCGCCCTCTCCCTTCCTCTCTGCAATAATATATATATATATTTAAAAATATTTGTCAACTGATTGACATCACCATCACTTGTTACTTCCTTCACTTAGGGTAATGTCTCCAGGAGGCCCTTGTAAAATATCCATGTATTACCTGGGAGCAGTTAGCCCATTAATTTATCCAGCGGCTCTTCACTAGATTGTTGACACGCCATATGCCACAAGTAATCTGTTTTACTAATCGCTGCTGCTGTATTTAATATCCCATTTTACAGATGGGGAAACTGGAGAATAGAGAGCTTTAAATGATTCATCCAAGGTCATTTAGCTCATAGGTTATGAAACTGGAATTTGAGCTTAAACCACCCCTTAAACAGCATCTCTCCTATTAACTTGCAGTCCAGTATGAATTTTTCTCTTTCCCATTAATCTGTCTTACATTGGAAAGGAGTAGTCACAGCTGACGACTTGGCTGTGGTCTGTCGCCCTCCCTAGCAGATGAAGGGCAATGAGAAAGCGAGGGTCACTGCTGGGGAGAAGGAGCCCAAAGGCAGCTACAGGTAGAGGTTCTGGGGAAACTGAGGACTGAATGCATGGGCTGACTACTTGGAAAGAGCATGAGAGGAACAGCTAAACTGTTTTTCAGAGACATACCTCTGAGACCATGAAAGTAACCCAGAGAGGTGAGGTGGACTGAGCAAAGGCGGGGAGAAGGAAGGTAGTGACAGATAAGGCTTTTGGGAGGACTAAAGGAATATGGCGTTGATGGGGAGAGCTGGAGTGAAGTCTGCTGTGTACACATCTTTCCCAACAGCATGGGAGAGCCTCTTCCCCAAGCTCTTTGCATCTGAGTTAACCTTTGGGCTCCCGGGCTCTCCTCACAGCCACAGGAGCCAGGGGACATGGGGAGGACCAGGAAAACCAGTAATGAGAGCAGGGAGGAGGGGCAGTGCCAAGCAGAGATGCTTCTGGGGCAAGCATTTTATTTGTTAATACAAGAATAGAAAATTTGCAATAAATATAATCTAATAAATAACATCTCCAAATAAATAAATATTAATACAACAAACAGAGTCATGAGTGGTTGGGGCTGGGGTGCAGGGCCTGGGGGAGCTGCCCCATACACCCCTAAATGCTACTGCAATGTAAACTTTCAGGAAATCCTGTGGCTGTGGCTATGGTTGCCCTCCCCAGGCTGGGCAACCCACAGATACCCTGGAAAAGGGGGCAGAGAGGAGGCACCACGATGCTGGCAAGAAAATTCAAGACAAGGTCCTTTGGTTGCCACCCTGTGCCACAAGTGCCTTGGTGACCCCAGGGTCCAGTCTGTGCCTGCCCCTCTGCTTTCAGTATTACCTCCAACGCAGACCTCACCTCTTCCATTTTTAATACCATCTCTTCCTGTTTGGACTTGCCACTGTGCTTGTTTCCTGAATTGAATGTATGGAGTTAATTGGGGTAGGGGAGCAACACCCATCTAAGGAGAGTGAGGCAGCGAAGGGCTTCACCCCAGAAAGGCACATGCTGCGGTGGCCCCCTCCCTGCCCTACAGGCATGCTTCCTGCAAGTGCCGCTTAAGGGGCTGGTTGGGCACTGGCAAGTGGTTGGCAGGAAGCAGGAGGCTGTGAGAGCTTTACACCGACCCGAACCAATTCGGGCTCCCTTGAGCATTACTTCCTGTAGAAATGGGAGGGGGCCTATTGCACCTCTTCTCCAGACCTGCAGCACTTTGGGAAGTAGGGAGGGGATGGGTCTTATTGCATCATGCCCTCTTCCAAGTCTGGGAAGGGCCAGAGGCTCACAGCTTCTGTCTCCTGGCTCAACAAGTGTTGGCACACAGGTTTCTCCCTCCCAGAGTGGGAGCAGGGTTGGAGAGGGGAGGGGAAAGAGGAGGTGGTAAAGGTCAAAGATCAGAAGCCATGGGTCCCCAGGTGCAGGGTGACAGCAGCTGCTGGAGGTTGCATCTTCTTCTTGAGCCGGTTGAAGTCCTTAGCTGAGCGCCAAAGCCAGGTCTGCAGCTCCTTCAGCAGCCAGAAGTCATCCATCTTTTGGAGGAAATCACTGTGGGCAGGGCCAGGGGCCCAGGTGGGCTCAGTCCCGGGCAGAGGCTGGGGCAGCGGGTAGCCCAGAGCTGCCATGACACCCGCAATGCTGCCCAGCAGGCCCTGGAGGCTGGTACAGAAGTGGGCCAGGCTTCGGCGCAGCTCAGCTGCAGCAGCCTGGCGGTTGAGGCCACGCAAGTGGCACAGGAGGTGGCTATAGGCCTCGTAGTTCTGGGTCAGCCGCAGTTTGTCATTGAGGCTTCGCCAAACTTCCAAGTTGACAGTGGCCCTGGGTAGAGTCTCTGCCCCCAGCCGAGGTGGGTTGAAGTCAGGCTCGTTGAAAGGGGGGCCCAGGTAGTTCAGCTGTGGAAAGGAGAGGGCGATGGGGAAGGAGGAGGGCAAAGCAGCCAGCTTGCCACCACCAGGAGATATCTGTCCCCAAAGAGTCTATTTCCTGTGTCCCCCGACACTGGCCCCAACTCCATGCTAGATCTCTCTGTTCACAGGCCAACCCTAAGTTTCTCCATGGATGTCGTTTGCATGGAGATGACAGTTGAAGCAATGAGGGTACTGAGCTCTCTATGGAGAGGTGTAGAATGAGGAAAATTGAGGAGCAGATACTCAGGGAGGACTCGCTGATCGGCTGTGTGTGCAAGCCTCTGGGGAGGGCCCACCGGGAGCAGGGCAGAATAGGAAGAGGAGCGATGGGGACCCAGGAGGCCAGGCTGCAGAGGTAGAAGGTGGACCGAGAGTGCAGAGCCAAGAAGAGTTCAAGAAGGCAGCAGTGCTCAACAGTGTGGCTGTAAAACAGAGAGCAAGGGGAATGAGCCTTAGAAAATACTGTTGGGTTTGGCAAAGGAGGTGCCTGACAACCTTGGAGAGAACCGTTTCAGTGGCCTGGAAGCCAGATCGCAGGGGGTTAAAGCGTGAGTGGGTGGAGAGGAAGTGGAGGCAGAGGGTGTAGACCACTCCTTCAAAAAATTTGGCAGGGAACGCCAGGAGAGAAAAAGGGTCGGGAACTAAAGCGGGTAGCAGAGTCAAGCAAAGGTTTCCTGGACAGGAAAAGCAGGTCGAAAGGCAGAGGGGCCTGTGGGCATCAGAACCATTTGCTCAGTCCCACCAGCTGAAGGGCTGAGGACAGAGGTACACACGAACCTCCAAGGAAGGGCTCAGCCCATGGAAGCAGGACTGCAGAAGGAAGAAACTGAGGCAG